CCTGTGGAATTTCATAGAATTTTATTACATCTTTAAAGTATTGTATAGATGCCCAAAACCTTATTATAAGTTTTGGGACCTCATAGATTACGTATAAAAACTCTTCCAGATTTCGGAACAGTATATGGATGGATATACATGTTATACTAATGATATGGTATTGTTGGAGTTCTATACTTTACTATGAACAAGAGTTGTAAAGTGTCTCCTTATAATTATATTATTAAAGATACTTTGTATGAAACTTTTTCACTTGCATCAATATTATTTACTAAAAAATTTGAAACTACATGAAGTATCAGCAACAAAGTTTTATTAGCAAGTATTTAGTTAGAAAGTATAGTTAATCTATGATGTTGTATGCCTACGAATAGTATATTTAATTGACTTCAGATTATATTGAGCGTAAGCAGCGTGTATGATACCAGTAATCTTAAGAATGCCATCAACAGTTCCTCTGTACACACGATCCAAAATACCATAAGATTCGTAAGCATGCAACATTATAAGTTAACTATACTTTCTAATTAAACACTTGCTAATAAAACTTTGCTGCTAATACTTCATATAGTTTCAAATTTTTTTAGTAAATAATATTGATGTAAGTGAAAAAATTTCATACGAAGTACTTTTAATGATATGATTATATAGAGATATATTTTACAATTTTCGTTCATGATAAGGTATAGAGCTCAAACAATATCGGATCATTAGTGTTATATGTATACACTATAACTGGGAAAGCAATCATACTTTTCTGACACATCACTGACACTACAGAAAAAAAATAGGAATTTGGGTATCAGTTCGGCTGGTCACACCCATATATATAGCAGACCCGACTTACGTGAAGCAGTAAAGCATAGATATAAGAGTTGGATCTAGGAAAAAAGGATCAGGCATAGGAATAACAGGTTAAGCATAGATCTAAGGGATTTATATAGGAGTAAGCGGATAGACATAGAAATAACAGATTAAGTATGCAATCTAAAAAAAAAAAAGTTGTGTTGCCGAACCTTTTCAAATTCGTTAGGAACCACCAAATCTAAAATGGTTTCTCTCGCAGACACACAGGTGAAACCTTTGCTACGGGACCTTTCTAAGATTCGTGGAACAAGAAAAAGTTCGGTATTCAACATACGAAATCATTGAGGTAAAATATGCAACTTTGAAGGTTTCGCTCGTGTGCCCGGGGAAGGAACCATTTTAGGTTTCGTGGCTCTTGCCGAACTTAAAAAGTTTCGGTAACATAACTTTTCTTTTTTTTACAGTGTAGAAATAAAGAGTTAGCCATAGTTATACATGGATAGAAGCAGTTGTTAAGAAGATATGCCCGGACTAAATGGTTTCGTATTGGACATGGGAAGTAACTTCGGCTACGAAACCTTGTTTAAAGCAAAAGAAAAAGGGTGCTGTACGAAATCTTTCTTCTTCAAAACTTAAAAATGCGCTCAAATTCACTTCAATTCGTGAACCCCTTTTTAGGTTCCGTATGGTACTTTTTTCGTGTGTATGTTATGTACATATATATTACCTATTTGCTATGTTTAACACCGATATTGCTTTATAATTTCAGCGTCATCATCGAGAAGTAATAGTATACTCAATAATACTAACAGAAACTTAGAACGAAGACGACAATAATCGAATAATAAATCGCTGGATTCACTCGATTTCGTGTGTAATTTTAGATAATCTCTTTCTTTTTCTTGTTATTTATTTATATAACTAAACTGAATATTTTTAAATATGAAATACAAGTTTGGAAATTTATTATAATTTGAGAAAATTTCCCATATGTCGGGCACAGCTGATCGGACCAGGATCGAGTACGAAAATTAGTATTCGTCAGTGGCGTAACCAGGATTTTTAGACCAATAAGCGAAATGGACAAGGTTTTTATTGATAAGCCAAACTTTTGTGACCCAGAAAAGTACTAATAGCGTAAAAAAAACATGCATAAGTTAGTGTTGAGGATTCTTCAAATATGTATCTGTGCAGCACACATGAACATTTTATCTACGAACTACGTCATTTCACATCTTGGTTTTGTGGAACTCACATTTATTTTCGAAGAAAATAGTGAGTGTAAGTTTTAAGTTCAAGTTTTGGCGACTCCCCTCCTCTCCATTACAGACACTTAGCAACGAAGGCTCCATTGCAGACCTTAGTAATTAAGAATAACAGGCGTCAGACTTTCTAGTTTTTTTGAAAAATTGATCAAGTTATAATTTTGAAAGATAATCAACATCTTTATTTGTGAGCTGATTAATATATATAATAATGCGTAGAATCATCTGTAGACATCATGGATATGTAAAATAGATTTATTTGTCAATTAATTCAATGATTATAATAATGAGAATGTTGAATTACGACAAATGACTTAAAAAAAATGAAAGATAATCAGCGATTAGCAACAATGCAAGATAAAAATAGGGCGCTCTCAAAAAAAAACGTTTTCTGTTGTAAATGTAGAAATAAATAACAAAGTCTCGCTCTTGTCATTGATTATCAATGAAATACAACTACAGTATACATGAAATTTTTCAGTTTACATATGATACATTAGAATATTAAGATTTAAGTATATATGTGAGTTCCACATTTCAGCTCCAAAGGAGCTGCGCTAACAAGCTTTTTTTTGAACGATTTTGTAAACATATTTTAGCTCAAAAACATTTATTGAAGGGATTTTGAACAAAGGAAAACTTGAAAAATAATATGGGATCTATGCTCTATAACCTTTATTATTTTTCGTAAGATTTTTTAATCTACATTGTTTATATATATATGATTTGTTTGCGCATATTTTTTGTAAACAGAGTTTTGGGCTTCGTAAAAGAATCCGACACTGGGTGTCTTTTGTCAGATTTTTTTGTATTAACTAACAATTGAAGGTCATGTAACAACAAATTAAGGAGATTGTTCATAGTCGAATCAAATGAATGCTCTCACTTACAGATCAACTAGTTTAAAATATGAGTTGCCAATAGCGTACACACATCGAGATGTTTAAATTTTAGGATATTTACAGTTTGTTATGTGCCCACACTACGAAATTTCATCAACCTTTAATTTTCTTTTTTCGTCATGATTGGATGGAACACGACTATTTACATAGAGGAGAAGCAATATCACACACATTGAAAAGCAATTTGACAGTAATTAATATTTTGTTTATTACTCTTATAATTAAAAAAATGTTATCTTAGACTTCGTACAATTTCCTTTTTAATATGAGTGATAATGTTTTTTTTTTATGTAAATGGTTCTGCTCCATCCAACCGTGACGAAAAAAGAAAACTAAGCGTTGATGAAATTTCGTAGTGTGGGCAAATAACAAACTGTAAACTTCTTAAAACTCGATTATTTCTGTGTGTGTACGCTATTGGTAGGTCATATTTTTAATTAGTTGGTTTGACAATGAGAGCATTCATTTGATCCGACTATGATCAATCTCCTTAGCTTACAGTACACGATCTTCTATTCTAAGCTATATAATGGTTGTGTTATCTTTCTTTATTATGAAATACTTTCGAAAACAAAGTATGAGTCGATAAAGAAAAAAAAGTAAAGCCTTTTTGTGCAAGTATGTCAACATGATTGTCCTTGGTTTGTAAAAAGTTATTCTTTCTGATTAGTTTTCGATTTTGGAAAGAAAATTCTGATTTTGAAAAGAAGAATTTCTAATCTTTAAGTTTTTCATCTAACAACCCTGTTGAAAATACCAGAAGCAATTCTTTTCTTCATTCTTCACAGAAAGAACAAGCAAAATGTACATGTGTGATTCAGACGGAAGAAAAAAACTAGAGTTACTATCTAATTCAAAAATCAATAAACAATTTTGAAAAAGTAAAATTTTAATGGGCAATTGCCCATGTATCGCTCCCTTGACTATGTCTCTGGTACTTGTATAGGACACTAGTGATCATTCAGGAAAATACTTCAATTATCAGCAAAAATTTGAAGTAATAGAAAAAGAGACATATTCTACTGACCATATAAAATGATAATTGGATACTAATAATTTCGATCGTTCGCGAGAATTTTTCATAATTTACAACAACTGTTATAATGTTAGATATATCATTTTAGAGTACTTTTTATATTTGTTTTCACTTGAAAAAGATTTTTTTCTGAAAATATATTCCGGATGTCCCAAAAGTCATAATCACTTAACACATGCATATAGCACCACAATTGAGTAAGCTTAATCAAAAGTCTTGTTTTTTTGATTCGAAAGAGGAGACTATTAAGTTTTTATTCTTAAAGATCAAGTTCATCATCACGATAGAAAGGGTAGCATCTTCGGTTACAATATAAAAATAAGGTTTTTCTTCAACGTTACAAACGATATGTGTTTTTGTTTACTAAATTTACTCGAATTTCTATCGTTATTATGATCGTGAAATCATTCAGATGTTTTACCCTGACTTAATAAACATCGATTTCAAGATATCCTAATAACAACAAAGAGACTGGTCAATTTTAATGATAGATGAGTTATAAAATGACTTCACTTACTCGTTTCTACGATTATTAGAGTTTTTGAGGAGCCATGAGCAATCTGCTTTGAAGAAAGGCAATAACAGTTTCGATTCTTAAAAAATATGTCAAACAAATAACTGAAAAGCAATAACAAAAGATCTGAATGATCTCATGGTCATAATAACGATAGAAATTCGAGTAAATTTGGAAAACAACAACACATATCGTTTGTAACATTGAAGAAATACATTATTTTTATGTTGTAGCCGAAGGTGCAACCTTTTCTACCATGTCGTTGAACTTGGTCTTTAAGAATAAAAACTTAATAGTCTCCTCTTTCAAATAAAAAAAAACAAGACTTTTGATTAAGCTTACTCAATAGTGGAGATATATGTATTTATTAAGTGATCATGACTTTTGAGATACCCGGTATAAGAATATTCTTCGATAAATAAGCATTTGATCAATATTTTTTTCAGTGTTTTGTTTGTTTGTGATATAGAAAATAAATGAGAGACCACAGGATTTTGCTGACATTAGTGTTCTTAAAAATTGTCAACAACTGTTATGTTGATAGTCGTCCATTGACATTTATCGAGCAGCAAGTTCAACTTTGTATAAATCAGGATGTTAAACGGCAACCAGTAATTATCGATACAGATACAGACGTAGATGACTTATGGGCAATTCATTATCTTCTCAATGTAAGTATAAATGTCAAAAAGTATCAGATTCTAAACATCGTTGTGATAATTGATGTTAAAGGTGCCAACTGTTGATGTCCTTGCAATAACAACTGTTGGGAATGGATATAGGTAGCTTCACGTTTAACTGATAGTCATTGAATATTACCTCTAGTTTTCTTTTATTCAGCAAACCGTTTTATTCGGGATCAAATATTCTTACCTTTCTCGATTTGATTGGATGTTCAAATGGTATTGGAGTCGGTTATGGAGTAAAGTAAAAATCATATAAATATGTCTTTTATATGGGCTTTTTTTTTTTCGTTTTGTTTTACAGTCTTCCATTAATGTCGTCCGGTTATATAATTCCATCATCATTACTGAATGCAATCGATTCATATATGACGGCTGCTACTTGTCTTAATCAGTCAGTAAATATATTTCTTCAGCCATCTCCATTTGGTGCGATTGAACTAATAAAACTATCATTGAAATATTCAAAAATACCAGTTGATATTTTGATTCTTGGAACTATGACAAATCTTGCTACAGCTATTAGTGAAGATCGATCAATTATATCGAAAATAGGCTCGGTTTATTTTTCAGGTGAGAATACTTTGATATTTGTGATAATTTTGTCGACAAACATTGTAAGATATTATTTGTTTTTGAAGGTGGTCAATTCAAATCAATAAATTCATATCCATCTCTCGTACCAAATGTGACACTTCCTAATTATCCAGACAGTGAAGAAAATTCAGACGGTAGCCCGAATGCTTATTTGGGTGAGTATCTAGTTTTGTGGAACTCACATACATTTTCGAAGAAAAATAGTACGTATAAGTTTCAAGTCGGAGTTTTAGAGCTCCTCACTCCTCCATTTCATACCATAGCAACTAATTTTACAGTTGATGAGTATTTCAACTTATATGAAATATGTAATCTCTATGTTTCAGTCCCACCGAGGTCGCGCTAACAAGCTTTTTAATATCTCTTTGCATGAGAGAAAATTTAAATTAAATTTCATGAAAAATGAAAAGAAAAAGTGAACATTGGAAACTTCACATTTCTTGTTCTACTCTAATTAATTTATAGTAGCTATTGGATTGCAGAATTCTGAGTGTCATAAATCATTTTTGCTTTCAAAAAAAAACCGTTGAAAATATTTAATTTACTTTACTAAAGATCGAGTACTTAAAGAATTTTCGATCTAGATAAATTAAGTAAGTTTTTGTTGGAGTGCTTAGTTTTCTTCCGTTCGAGTTTTTGTCTAAATTCTATTGCATGTTTTACCCATACATCTGAAACTTAGATATGCTTGCCGTACAACGTGTTGGCATGAGTGGAATAAAAAATATTGTTGCTATGCCACTAATCATACAAAATACGATGCCAATCAATCTTACCCAACTGAATGAAACATTGAAAAGATTGAATATTCAGTTGAAGCCTTTCGTCCTTAACTTCATATCATCATTTGTAAAATGTACAAGTCCAAATCAAACTACCATCTATTTGAAGTGATAAGCTTTATTTTCTGATGTACAGAAAAACCAATTGATCATTATGTGCACTTTTTGTAGGTGGGATAATAGTGCCGCTCAATTCATGGTACAAATGCAAACAAACAATAGTCAAGGATTTTGTCTTGAAACACAGAAAGTTAAATCGCTTTATATTCTATCGGCTGATTCTCATCAATTCTATGGTCAAGGTATGATCGATGTGGAAACTTATTTACCAAACGCTAGTGGACTAGTAAATTATACAATATGCACGAAAGTCAATTCAGACATATTTTTGGTCGAATTCTTGAATAAAATTAGCTCAGAAAAACTTTATTCATGCGAACGCCAATATAACCAACGATTTGATATTAGATTACAGCAATGTATGCTAAAATTTGAAGATACTGGACAACAAACAAATATGGCAAAAAAGTGTCATTTTCTAAAACCTATTTTTCTTTTGATGTATTTATTTTTTTTGCACGTTACTTATTTTCTAAATTGAAAGGATAGTGTCCAATAGTTGTAGTTAACTCATTTGTCATCTGTCTGCATGTGCATGTATCTGTCTAAATCAGATTTTTAAAATCGTCTACTTTATACTCTCTTTTATTCAAATAAAATAGATGCATTTAGAATAAATTAAATTGTGGAATCACTGGATGAGTTTCAGTAGACTTAAGATATATATATAGGTCATGAAGGGTGTGGGTGTGAAGCGAAGAATACACCCACACTCACCCCCATATCGAATGCTCTCGACAATTTCTTTGGTTAGTCGTGAAGACGTACATCAGTCTTGACTCGCTTTGCATTTGATTCTACCTGGGAGAGAACAAATGGTATCTGATATAGGATCAATCAGAATAATTCATTATTTTAGTCGAATTCAATATTTAGATCCCATTAGTATCCATATCTGTTCGTGAAGTGCGTCTATCTGATGAAGTCAAAAGAACCCAAATCGTCAACATATACATATCGTAATCATATACTTTCTGAGTATCAATGTTCGTTATAGAAAAAGACGAAATAAAGCTTTCTCAGTTTTAATTGAATTGAAGAAGAGCAAAAGAAAATGTTTGCTCCTACTCATAACGTATCAGAATTGCAAATTAGAATTTATTTTAACACACAGTACAGATCGAAGGAAATATGCGTCTGGCAACAACTCTTTGTGATATTATTTCACTTTCAAATTGGTTTGGAGTAACGATAGGCAAAAGTAGATCACTGTCAAAATGCAAGTTATCCATCTGCCTTTTTAATTTCATTATATCATTTTGTACTTACGAATATTTTGGCGATCGGCTCTTTTCTACATGTTCCTAACGATTTAGCAGCGTAATCTATTGCATTTTGATAATTTTCCATTTGACAATAAACGTCTCGGATACTTTAATATGAGAGTATGCTAAATTAGAGTCATCCCACATTGCCTACTTATCTATATAAATAATAAATATCTCCAATCATTTGTAATGTATCACCGATTCTCGGATGAGTTACCGTGAGTGTGCGTTTCTGTTGTGCTAATTTATATAAAACACCAATAGGTTTTTTTCGATAGATCAATAAGGTTTCCAACGTAGGTCTGGACTTTCCACTTCTGCTCGTCTACATATAATTCCGCATGTATTTAAAGAAACTATCTTTCTCTTTTCATTGCGAATGCTCAGAGCATCTGATTCCTGTTACTTTTTTTTTTGAAAATCAAACATATTCTTAGAAATATTTTGTTTTTTTAACAATTATTAGAAAAAAAATTTTATCATTTTTCTTTGCCATTTGATATGGCAGTCGATACGTAGAGCAACGTAGATAAGAAAGTCACAGTGACACAAAATGAAGTGGGTGTGGGTTTGTATGCTCCCATATCACCCATACCCTCATCCACACCACCACCCACACCCACATCTAAAAAATCAACGAGAATCAGATTTTAATAGATTCCTCCATTATGCTATTTTTGATTGCATCGTCTTGCTTCGAAAAACTTCACAAAGACACCGGACACTTCCAAGTCCTTCGAAATCGCTATGGATTTGAGGGAGAAAAGTGAGGGGTAAGGACGAGGATGTGGGATTAGAACAGATACCCTTCTCTCACTCTCACCCTCAAGAATTTAGGGAAAGAGATGAATGATATCTGATCGGAGTGGAAAGAGAAAGTTAGTAAAGAAGAAGATAGATAACGTCTGTAATGAATAGATCACCCAATAATTGTCCATGATTGAGAAGTGTTTTATTTTGAACATTTTAGATTGAAAAAGATGATCTAAATAAGTATACAGAGACAATACCGAAAATCTTTTCTCCAACGATCAGAGATGGAACCAGTCTAACTTTTTACGAACAGTATCGGTCTAAAGACCGTATTAAACATTTGTCGTTGCTGATCTTCAGAT